CTTAAGTAACCTTCTAACAAAAGATAATATTTTTGAATGGACTGAACAATGTGAAGAAATTTTTGTTAAACTTAAAAACATGCGTACTTCTGCTCCTGTCATTCAACCTCCTAATTAGTCATTACATTTTGAAATATTATGTGACGCTAGTGATTATGTCATGGCTGCTGTTTTGGGACAAAGAAAAGATAAAAAACCTTATGTAATTTACTATGCAAGTAAAACTTTAAATAGTGCTCAAATGAATTACACTACAACTGAAAAAGAATTACTTGCAGTAGTATTTGCATGTGAAAAATTCAAGTCTTATCTTGTTAGCTCACCTATTGTTGTTTTTAGTGATCATGCAGCTTTGAAATATCTTCTTTCGAAGAAAGATTCTAAGGTTAGATTGGTGTGGTGGATTTTGTTACTTTAGGAATTTGATATCACAATTAAAGACAAAAAAGGCATCGTAAATATTGTCGCAGATCATTTATCAAAATTGACAACAAATTCAAAAACTAACATCACACCAACAGATTCTAGTGCCTTTACTTTCTGTCTTTATATTGTCTTGGTTTGCTAATATTGTCAATTTTCTTATTTCAGGACAATTGCCAGCTCATTGGAATACCCAAGATAAAAGAAAGTTTTTGAACGAAGTGAAGAACTTTTATTGGGATGACCTTTATTTATTCAAATATTGTCCTGATCAAATATTTCGAACCTGATAAAATATTTCAAAAATACATTCTTGATAATGAGGTAAGTGGTGTCATTGAATTTTATCATTCTAAGGCATGTGAGAGTCATTTCTCATCAAGAAAGACAACTACAAAAATCTTACAAAGTGGATTTTAGAGAAAATAGTCGTTTCCTAGAAAACTAAGATTAAGATGGAGTGGTCCATTTCTTGTGAAACATGTGTATCCATATGGGGCCTGTGATATTGAGAATCCAAAGAATGACAATGTTTTTAAGGTAAATAGACATCGTTTGAAAGTTTACTTCGACAATTTTTGAATTGAAAATGACTCTATTGAATTGGGTGATCCTATATATAAAGATTGATATTTTTCCCTCACATTTTTTTTGTGTTTTTTTCTATGATTTTTGTTTTACTAGTTTCTCTCACCCTAGTCAAATGGCAGATAGCGGTGCTCCATGACTTTAGTTAGTTCTTTTAGTTTCCTATAATAACTAATATTTATGTATATATTTGTCAATTCTTTACTCTTTCCCTTTTCTTTGAATCTCTCAAATTCTCATTTGAAAATGGACACCACTCCTGAAAAGTTGAAAAAATATTTTCTCGCTCTACCTTAGAATATGATCACAAAAATTTATCGTGCTAGATATGCAAGATTAAGATTCTTAATGAATCATGGAATTCTTGAAAATATTAGCTGGCTGATTGAAGCAAAGATCCAATTATCAGGTGAGTCCTCTAATTCCTTCATTTCACACATGCTTGGAACAGGTAAAAACACTTTTACAAAGAAACATCATGCAAAATGACTGAAAGTCTGTCACAGATATGCCAGATGGACTTGTAATGCAACATATTATTTTTTAGGAATGATATCTGTAAATCAAGAAGATAAGATACAATTCATTAAGGATGGCCTGAGTAAGAGGTCTTTAGATTATCTTCTGTTGACTCTTGAGATGCATCTTAATGGAGATGTGCATCGTGCAATTCATGATTTATAGCCATAATTCCATAAAGAACATGAGCGACTTAGTCTTGGAAATCCGACTAAAAAAGACCCTGTTTGCCAGTTTTTAAGAAAACTAGATGGGAAGCCTATCCCCGACCCATAAAGAGCGTTTAAGTTGTTCTTAGATGTAAAACCAATAGAACATATGAACCACAATCACAACTACCTATACATACACATAATTTTTTAAAAATAATTAAATAATAAATTAAATAAGTAAATAAAGAGAGAGAGAGAGAGAGAGAGAGAGAGAGTACGAGACTCCAGGTGGCCTACATATAGGTGGTATGATTGCATTTTCAAGTTCTCATCTATAAAATCTTCTCTTTCTTTTCTTTATTTCTACTCAACCTAAACATTCAACTGATATAAAAATATGTAGAAATGGCAGGTTTCTCAAGTCATTATATAAGAAACAGTTGTGTTTTCGGTGGATCCTGTCCTGGAAAGAAAATAGAGTTTTTAGAATCAGCAAATCATCTTGGTTAGGTACTAGCTGTGAAAATGATTCATTTAGTATATAAGGGAGATCGCCTTGGGTTAATGAGGGGAGTGTCAATAGCTTTATTTTTAGGAGGTAGCCAAGTTATGAGAGTTGTCCCTAAAACTTTAGCACAAGGGAATATCATTAGAAAAATAATTAGAAAGGAACTACAAGTCTCTATAATGTCTGATCAAATAAATATGATGTTTAAACACGCTGATGCCTTCATTGCCTTACCACGTAGTCTGGGCACATTGGAAGAAATCTTTCATATTATCTCTTAGGCCCAACTGCACATTCACCATAAACCCATAGGTTTGTTAAATGTTAATGGTTTTTTTGATATGTTGTTATATTTTCTTAATCATACTGTGGAACAAAAATTTCTAACATCTTCAATTCGCTAAATCATAATCTCTGCTGCTACTGATGAATAATTGATTGACTAACTATAATCTTTCACTCCTTTAATTGATCCTTCCATGAGTCGCATAAATTTATCAACTAAGGAAAGCTGTAAAAAATTTAGATTGGATTTGAGCCTTTGTTTGTGAATCCTTGTGTCTTTTGTTATTCTTAATAGTATATTATTTTGTATTTTTTTGTTTCTTATATTTGTTTAAGTGTGTTTCAGGTTTGTTAGCAGTTGCTGTTTCAGGTGATATCTTTTATACTCTATTTTTCCACCTTATAACATTGAGGACAATGTCTCGTTTTTGTTGGGGGGGAAGAATAGTAGTTGATATTAAAAAAAAAAAACAAAAACGAACTAGATTTTCTATTTTATAAACCATTTGCAAACTGTTATTACTAAGATGATAAAGTAAGGATGAATTTTATTGACTTTTAAGACGTATCTTGGCTAACATTTTTCAATAGTTATTTGCAATATTTATAAGGTCTATCAAAGTACTTCTTGAAATATTCAAGTTTACAAACTCTCGCATTGTTATCACTTAATTATGTTCATATACTCATTTAACAAGTATTCTTAAACCTTTATTTTCACACACACACACACACACTTTAAAATGTGATTGTGGGTTGCATATTAGATTATTATATTATTTATATTAATAAAAATGTATATAAAAAATTGATGAGCTTAATTGAAAAGGGGTAGTATATAAAAAAACAAAAAAAATTGATAATAATAAAAATGTAGATAAGTTTAGTTTCGTAGCCTTCTTAATCTAAACAATTAAGCTCGAAAAGGGTGTTTTAACACCTAATACCCTGAAGTTAACTGACTTGGGAGCTATTGACCCAATGCTTGTTACATGGGTTGAGAAGAAAGGCTTAAGGGAATCAAACATTACACTATCTACTTATCAGTATCTGCAACTTGAGTTATGAAGCTCGAAAGGGTGTCTCAACACCTAATGCCCTAAGACCAACTAGTTTGAGAGTCATTAGCCGAAAGCTTATTACATGGGTTAAAGATGCATTGTGTCTTAAGTTATATGTATATATATATATAAAAAAAAGATAATAATCCTAGCCTAAGGAAGTTAACCTTAAACATTAGAATAAAATATTGTTTTCTTCTAATAAAAGCCCCATCATCTATATTTTCATACATTGAGCACATAAAAAATAAGATTTATTAATATCTTATTTCAATAGTATGAAGCAGATAAGAGCTGTAGATCTCATATTTAGGTCTAACTTAAATGGATGGAAAGGTAATACATAGGCCTATAACTTTCATGAGAGTTAAGATTTAAAAAGGTCATTTTCAAGTCCAAATTGTAGCAACAACGAAGAAGTCTGAATTTGTCCTGCAGCCTGAACATTATTCAGTGTTTGACCCATATCTAGAGTTCTAGAACTCCAAATGACCTCCACTTTTTTTTTTGCTGGAAAGCTGAGACAATTTCCTACAACTTTCATGTTTTTAAATGGTTCCAATTCTGATGCTATTAATAATGTTTTAGGCATACAAGAGAAGATAAAGATTGTCACCAAGTCAAGAGTTGACCAGTTACTCATCAATTAGTCATCAAATCAATAGTTCCCAATTTTGGCCTATAAAAGGAGGCATTTGCCATGCATTTAGGCATCTTGGTTTCCAGATCAAGATCATGCTCTTGCTTTCTTTCTTTGTATTTTTTGTAGTGTTTATGCTTTGCTTTTATTAATATCAAGTTTATACCTTTCATTTTCTTTCATTTACGTAGTTAACTTTTATCTTATTTATGTTCTTATTTTGTTTATTTATTTTTCTTTCTTTCATTATTTTTCTTTTATTTTGTTTAGTTAAGTTTGTTATGTCATGGTGAAGAGGTTACATTAATAGTATAAGAATAAGTATAGTGTAAATTTAACGTGGACTTTAATGTTTAATACTAATATGTTTTGTGTCTGTTATCTTATTCACTCTTTGATACTTTGCTTGTTAAATGACTAATCTAGATTTATGTTGTCTAATACTTGGTACATCAAATGCTTAACACTTTCATAGCACAAACTGTATGGTATAAGCAACACCTATGCTATGAAAAGAACTTGATTTATTGTTAAAATAAGTTATAATCATGAATGTCTGACAACATTTACAAGTATTAGCATTAATCGAATAAGATAACTAATATAATCATGTTAACAATTTATAATTTGATTGGAACCTCCTTTATATGTGGTTTCCAATTAAATAATAAAAGTTTATATTATACTTGTTCGAGATACCATTATTGGATCCTCTAACCTTGACATTTATTGTTATCATTGTTTAATCCTTACATTGATCTTCCATCTCAAAGGTCTTATCAGCTTTTTCTTCTATTATTATTATTATTTTTTTGATCAAATGTAATGTAAGAAGTATATAGATTAAAAATAACAAGACAAGCTTGCAATATAAGCTGGAAACAGTGGAACAGTACATACCCCATCAAAGGGAATAAAACCCTCATCTAACACAAAAGGCAAGGGCAAGGGAACATTCTCCCCAGCACAAGCCAGCCCAAAAATACCTTACATATAAACAGAGAAGGGAACATTCTCCCTGTAGATACCATAGCAAGCCTAACTTGTAGAACATGATTACAATACAAAAGGCGTGTACTGTGGAACAACCTCCCCAGACAAGCATACTGAACAGAATAAGGAAATAGGCTCCCTTGAATCAAACAAAATAAGAGGATCCAGCAGACCAGCTGAACTAACCGTATAAGGTATCAACACACCAGCAGTTAGCCTAGTGCGAAACCTCAAACCAAGCAGGGAAAGCACCCATCAACCGCCAAGAGCAGAGAACAAACATAGATGAAGCTGCACAAGGGATACCAAATTCCCCACAATCATGACAAACAGAAACAGAGAAAGTAAGCAAAGGCAAACCAGCAAATTAACTGCACAGGACATAAAATCACAAGCAAGAGCCAACCAGCAAATAAACTACACAAGACATAAAATCACAGCAAGAGCCAACCAGTAATAACTGCATAAGCAAACCATACAAACAGACTAGATAAACATGGCATCCACCTAAATAGGAACCATGAACTCTGCTAGATAAAAGGAACAGACCATCAAAGGGTGGATGAGGGGGCAGAGTCATCAGAGCTATGCAGCAACTAAAAGACTATAATAGGAGTTATGAGAGGCGGTCCCATACGAGGGATGGCAGCTGCTTTACTACAAGTGAGATACTGCCTCTTGGGAGGTATAAATATAGTGCCCACCTTTTCAGTAATAGAGGCCTTAGGACCCACAGCCTTGGGTCTCTTACGACCAGGAGACCAGGTGCTAATAGAACCAGCTGTAGCAGCTTCTGTGGACATAGGATCCTCTTACGGAGTAACAGAAGGCCCTGCACAATATTGATCCTACTTCTCAACAGCTGCAGTCTCTGCAGAGGGATTAGAGCTGGCTGATAGGCTGAAGTGCCATGAGGCCTCTTTTTATTTCGAGGGATGCGACCTTGGGTGTAAGTGAGAGTGGAATGACCAAGAGACTTACACTGCTTACAGTATCGCGGCAGAGATTCATATACCAGTTGCTGCACCAAAGTGTTACCATTAGGTAATATCACAGTGATAGTGGATGGTAAATCAGAGAGGAGGTCTAATTCAATGAGAACCCATGTATAAGAAACCAGGGTCATTTGAGCAGTAAGGCCATCACAATGGATTAGTTTACCAACCATGCTTGCAATCTTGGATAAGCAGATATGACTCCAACAGCGTAATGGCAGATTAGGGAATCGCACCCATATGGGCATTGTAGTAAGCTCAGTAAATTGGAAATCAAAAAATTCAGGCATGATTTTCAAAATAAGAAGCCTACCAAACACAACATATGGACCCGCCCCAAATACATCTAACATCTCTGATTCTGAAGAGAACTCAAAGATTAACCAACCCGAATCATGCATAGAGAAATTGGTTTTATGCTGCCATGTTCGGTTAATATATGATAGCAGTGCAAAATACCCAGGAAATTTCCCCGCCACATAGCCAACCAGGCAAAATTTCCATTTATCAACTGGTTCACTAACATCACTACCCTGAATATGACATGTAGCAGAGGATGCATAATCGGGGAAGTGAACAAGAGGAGGGGAGTGTGATGTACCTGGTGGTGAACCAGTTGGGGCAGCCTAGCTAGGTGTAGCTATTACTGGAGGGGCTCGAGGAACCCCCTCAGAAGGCAAGGGGGGAGGATAGTGGTGTGAGTCGCTGTAGGATGGCCTTAAACTGAAGGGGGAGAAGAAGCGGTTGGGTTAGAGTGCAGGCGAGAACCACTAGGTTTAGCCTCCCTATGGCGCACCACATGGTGGTCCAAGGTCAAAGGGATGGCCCTGGAACTACCAGAGGAGCTATCGGTACGACCACCAGAAGAGGAATAGCAAAGAGACGGAGCAGGGGAGCCTGACATTTGCACGGGTTTGTTTCTGCGAGAAGACAAAAGCCTAACATCACTTGAGAAATTGGCAAAATCAGCAAAAGCAACCTTTGATCGAGGCGGAGTGTAAGTTGGAGAAGGGGATTGCATCGGCGAGCAACTTCTGGACTGAACCCTAGCTTTGTGCAAGGCGGGTCGTCGTTTGAGTTGAAGCTGGAAATCGCCCTGGCCAAAGCAAAGAGTTGAGGATTTAGCATTTGATTTCGTCATGTTGACCAAAGAAAGAGTGCTAATGATGTTGAGATAGGAGAAGATAAATGGTGACCAGAGAGGGAAGAACACGAACACCGAAAGGCTGCTTCTCTCACTACACGGCTAGTGTCGTCTACTATTATTATTATTATTATTATTAGTATTATTATAAATATTATTATTAAAATTTTTGTTATTTTTTTTATTGTTATTGTATTATTATTATTTATAATTTATACAATTAATCTCCTCGTGATTTGACCCCGGTCTTGCTGGATTCTTTATTACTTCGACACTCCTAAATTTTGGAAAAGACATCGATTTTCTAGTCGTGTTATGTTTTTAGTACCGTTATCGGGAAGGTAAGTTCTTATGCAAATTATAGTATTTATTTTATTTTTTCTTCACTTTTCTTGTATATAATTTTGTTTCTTTTGTTTTGTTTCTCCTTCATTTATTTTGTTCTTCTTTTTATTTTATTCCTACACATGCATGAAAGTGTGGTCACGTACATTAAGTAGTAGACTTTGTAGAGCATCTTTATTATTTTCAGAAAATATAATCAAAGAAAATAATCAATCACTTCATAATGAAAATAATGAGAATAATCATGTTAAAATACTTAGAGACCACATGAATCTGACACGAACAAGTGCACCATCATGAATATTTTCCCCCCTGATACATCTTAGTTTAATTTTAAGCCAGACATTATTCAACTTTTATCTTCTTTTCATGGCTTAGATTTAGAAAATTCATACTTGCATTTAAAGGAATTTGAGGAGATTTGTAACACCTATAATAACTCAAATTATACCATGAACACATCAGATTAAAGCTTTTTTCTTTTTCATTAAAAGATAAAGCTAAAACATGGCTATAAAATTTGAGACCTGGATCCATTTGTGCTTGAGATGAAATGCAACAACAATTTTAAAAGAAGTTTTTCCCTTCTCATAGAACAAACTCTTTCAAAAGACAAATCATCACTTTCACTTAAAAACCAGAAGAAATTTTTTACCAATGTTGGGATAGGTATCGAGACATACTTAATACATGCCCTCATCATAGTTTTCAAACATGGAGATTGGTTTCATCTTTTTATGAAGGCTTAACACCTAGAGATGGGAAAATGGTTGAATTGATGTGTGACATGACCAAAAGATTGATGTCTTCTTCCAAGTGCAGGAGTGTCGAAGTAATAAATAACTTGGCAAGACCGGAGTCGAACCATAGGAAGGTTAATTGTATAAATTATAGATAACAATAATACAACAACAATAACAAAAATAATAGTAATAATAATAATAACAATAATAAAAATAGTAGTAGTAGCAGTAATAGTAGTAAAATAATAGTAGTAGTAGTAGTAGTAGTAGTAGTAGTA